AAAACAGTAATCAAGAACTATTAGGCCAAGATCAATTAAATACTACTAAAAGTTGTCTCCGTTTTTGCCGGAGCGTAGAATTTTGCCGGAGCGTCAGAATTAACATGTAGTCAGCGAGAGACCGCAGACCTAATAATTACAACTATTAGAGCTGCCGGGAAACTAACCATGTAGCGCACAAGTGATGCCAGAAACTCGCTCATTATATCAAATCTAAAAACATCACTTTAAGAACTCACTAATAATTTATTTTCAGGTGATAAACACGGAAAGGGAAAGTTATAGTAAAGACAAATTATAAATAATGGTTTAATTAGCATTAGATTTCATACATTTTCCCCACCAAAATTTAAGTAACCGCAACACAGGTCTTTAACGACTTTGTTAAGATTTTAAATGATAAATCTAAAACATTAGGTAACTTTTACAATCATGAAGTTTTAAATTTTTGCAGAAGTTTCAATTCTCATTGCACAAAACTTCGTGTTATCACCGTTTAATTCAATCCCATTTTCTACCAGTTATCTGGAAGGAAAAATTGTTTAGCAAACAAACTTTTACATCTTCTACTTTTCAACTTGCCATTTACAACTTCATCATCTTTTTAACTTTGTTTCCTATAAACTCAATTTCTTCCCTTTGCTCTCCAGCACTGTAATGTATGCCTGTGAAAATGTGCAGTTTCTCAGCAACTACCTACTAATCAAAATCCTACATGTTAATAACTTAGACATTCTAAAATTCAATGATACCCTACTTCAAGATTGTACTTAATGTTCTAAGGTTAGTTTTCATAAAATATTATTGTGTTGGCTCAGCAGCCTAACTTTTTAATCTCTTCACTTCCAGCATATGTTAAATGATACGGCTCAGTTTCCCTCTGCATGAAATGTGATACGGGAGCAAAGGGTCACTGATGACCCACTGTATCATATTTCATACAAAATGTTTTAAATGAGCGTAAATTATGTCCGAATGTTGCACAAACTTATTGAACATAATCTCCGCAGAGTTAGCATTGTTGTGATGGATATTATTCATTGTTCCATTCTGCGAAAATAAAATGCATGATGCTAACAACGTGCATTCATTATTTAGAAACGTGCCCCGCCGTGCAATCGGCTTAGAATTTTTGTAGGTAAATATAGCAATAGGATACAATAAGCACTATTTAAAGTCTTTTTTTTTTTTTTTTTTTTTTTCTGCACAGAAATAATTTAAATATGGGAATATATTCATTATAATTAATACTGCAATTTAATTTATTCTGAATTTTTATTTTTATTTCCAATGTATTGTCCCACCAAATAATTTCAAAATACCCTTCCGCTTTGAAATTCAATTTCCGAAGCACAAATTGTTGAGTTTTTTCCTTCCAGTCAGTTTTCCTTGCTTTCAGTATTCTTCTCAGGCCAAGTTAAAGAATATGTGCTCGTTCATCTTCCAGCATTGCCAACAGGATGTTTTCAGAGTGAGCAAAATAACAGCTCGTTTGAATAACTTTGTGAACGATTGCCTTTAAATTTCCTGGCAAGAATGACCTTTTATTAATCCTTTTGTGGACACGACATGCTCAGAGTGTTTCCTCTTGGGATTTTCTTTATTTCAAATTAAGGTGACACATAAACTTTTATAACGCATTTGGCTAGTAGCTTCAAGTCCTCTGTTCGTTTGGTGATTGATACATAAAGGCAAAGAATTCTGTTGGCTGTAGTAAGCCATCTTGAGTGGGCCATCTTCCCAAGCCTCCTGTTTACTAAGTCTGAAGATAGTGTTACACTTGACCTGGTAATGCTGTTTTAGTTTAAAAAACCTTAAAAGACATGTGGCATGTATGTATTAGAACAATCAGAGTCTTGAGAAGATTAAAATAAACGTTTTATTTAAACAAAAAGTAGAACATAAGAATGTTGTGCTACGATTTTCCCAACTTGTGGTGATGCAAAATAAAACAGAACAGTCCAAATTAAATCAAATGTTAATAAGTAGTCACTGTTGGATTTCAAATGAATGTAGTTTTTATTTTATACATGCTTCAATTTAACTTTACTTACTTTCCTATAATTTTTTATTTAATGTCGTGTCGCCACTAATTATTATTGTTAGTTTAGTTTCTTAAAAGTGGCAACAAAACAATTTATAGAATTAGGAAAATATGTTTCTGTAGTTAAGTTAGGGTTCTGTAGTTAAAGAAGAATGAAATGTTATTTACATGAGTGCTGTTTAAGTTAATAAATGAATACTTTAGAATATTTTTAGTAATTTCTTTTTCCTGCCAAACTATATCATTATAAATCATTATAAAATGTCCAATCAATTTATTCCCAAAACTTAAAAAATACATTGGAAAAGCCATCTTTATTAAATACAGATTCTGAATTTAGAGAAGTTAGACAGTTGAGCATAAGACTATCCATATCAATACCATTAATCTTCAATTTTATTATCAAGAAATTCTGAAATTTCTAAGTTCCTAGAGATGATAAATTTCATTAAAGCACAGATGACTGCACTGCTGTATTAATTTCTTACTCTATGGCTTATGGCTTTACAAATTGCTTAAGACCGAGTTTGCAAATGATTTTAAATGTCTGCAATTGCTTGATTAGAAGATTACAAATCAATACAAACTGCTTGATATCAAGATTGTAAATATTACACTAAGTGTAATTCCAGTTTAGTATCGTTATTTACTTCAATATACTCATGAATATGAAGTAAAGCCTTACTCCTAAAATTAATTACTCTTATGCAAAATAATGTGAAAGTATAATTTTGTAGAAGAAGCTGATATTTTTCACCTGTTGTTTCACTTAATTTAATATCAAAGCATAGCATTAGATTCCATACTAGATTTGATAACATCTATTAGAACTAAAAAATTATGTCAAATGATTAGTTGAAGGTTTCTAATATCAAACTCTTACCTACATTATGATCTACTTGACTTTTTCTATAATTTCAGATTTTTTAAAAAACATAAAATATACATGTAAATACCACATTTCATTCAGTAGAACTATTTTGTATATTAACAAGTACAATTTTATTCAAAAATCAATATAAATTCAAACCTTTCCTATAATAAATTATAACAAAAATAAATAACTTTCATTTTTTTTTAACAGCCCAAAAGGGCATTAGCCCAGAAGGGCCATTATTCTTGAAACGGCATTTTGCACCAAATCACTTAAAATGTTAAAACACTTTTCAAATTGTTGCCAGCAAATATCATCACTCTGTATTATATTTAAAGAAATTAAATAATGAAGAATCTGCATGAATGTATTTATGTTTCTCGCATAGGGAAGAAACAATACCTAGAGCCAACAAATCTTGAATAATAAAGTCTTCCACCCGAATATGTACACCTGAAAGCCCAAATTCCGAATTTTGAATTTGTTTTATTATCTATTTCATATTTTGTAAAACCTTAATGAATTTTTGATTAAAAATATCAATTTCAAAGTGAACATTGGCAACAACGTCCGGGGAAAAAAAAAACATTTTTATCTCCAGCACATCAAACTTCCTATTGGAATTCTAAAGATATGCTGTTTATAAATATTTTTAGCTGAAATGCTCTCGAAACATGTATGTGTGTGTAGATGAAAAAAATGCCCCTTTGACTAATATAAAATTTTATTATTTTTTTTTTATTGTTTCTAAATCTCTGAGCAGAAATATTATAACCCAGGCTTCCTAAATTTAGAAATATATCTATCATTGGCTTTTTAGCAACAAATCCGCTGAAATGTACAGATGAATCTTTTCTGCTAAACTCCTAAGCTCCAGATAGCTAGATGAATAAAAAGAATAAGAAGAAAAAAAAAAAAAAAAAAAAAAAAAAAATTATAATAAATACAGTACAAAGTTCAAAATCCGGACATCCATTATCTGGAATGATCTAAAATCTGGACCTCAAAGTCACAAACGTTTTTTTTTTTTTAATTAATGCTTTATGCATGCGCATTTAATTTTTCCTTCAATAATAAAACATGGAGATTTTCACTTAAAAATTCTGATTCTTAACTTCATTTAGGCACTAAAAAAAATACCTCACGGTATCGAGCACCAGCCCTAGATAAAGCCTTAAGTGTACGTGGGAGTTTATTTATTCAGGATTTGAATTAGTTTGAAGCATGTACAAGAAATAAATGTAGGTATGTAGGTATAGTAAATAACTAAACTAATACAATTCAGGCTTAATTCAGTACACAATAGGAGCAAGAGAAACAACTTGGGATACTCAGCCAATAATGTATAACGGATGCTATTAAGATAGGCTAAAATTATCTTTATTGATTCTAAGGCATTTCAATTAATGTAGCAGACTGCACTGTACCCTGATCTTCTAATTTGATCCAGCTTATTATTTTTTGCAGACTGTTATTACAGCAATTTTATAAAAACTAAGCTTGAACTTTCAATTATGTGGAAAAGAGTTTCAATTCTGGAGTTGCCTCAGGATCTACAAAGCGAAACCATGTTTCAATGTCCATTAAACAAAAAGTGGAATTGCTGCAAAAAATGGATAAAGACATATCAGTCTCAAAATTATGAGAGGAGTATGGCATTGGAAAGTCAACTGTATATGACATAAGAAAAAGGAACTTTAAGAATTTTTTTATGGAAGCATCTTAAACAACTTACATTGAAAGAAATGTTTAATTAAGTAAACAAATAAATATTATGCATTTTTTTGGAAATTTTGATACCCTTTAGATCATAATTGTTCTTTATTTCATAAATTATGATTTCATATTTTTAATTGCATAATTTCTGCATGCCATCTAACCAGATTTAAATTGATCATCTATTATCCGGAAAAATCCCAAATCTGGAATCACAGAAGTCGCGACCAGTCCAGATTTCGGACTTTGTACTGTATTAGTCTATTTCGTAAACTCCCCTCTCTAACACCCCATGCTAAAATTCACACATTTTTGTTTTATACAAGTTTTTGAATCATCTATCTCAATTGCAATCATAAACGCAGGCATCTTTAAAATATTTTTTATTAAAATATTTCTATACTTTTATTTACACAAAAGATCTTCAGTTTTGAATAAAATTTAAGAATTTAAGCTCTACACAAATGTGTTTAGTTAACACAAAATAATATTTAAAAAAGCAGAGTAAAAAATAATTTTTTTAAAAAAAGAGAGACTTCCATGTAGATTTTCATTTTTCTTATGCTTCTCTGTTCTTTATAATAACTGTCCCATCAGGATGTCCAAAGTAAACTTTAGAAGCCATACCAACAAAAAGCCCAGTATCTACAACACCTAGGGAAAAGAATACTTTTATGTAAATGTGCTCAATTTTTTTATGAAAAAGATGATTTTAATACCTCCTGACACCTAGAATTTTGTTTATGATATTTTCAAGCTAACTCTTAAATACAGGGTGCAGCAGGGGAACTACCTTATTTTAAAAATGAATAACACAAATAGTATAAGAGATATCATTTAAATTTTTTTCAAAGTTATAGAGAGAGACTTAATTTTTTTTTTTTTTTTTTTCAATGGTTTAAAAATAATATCATTAAGGTGGCCTCCATTCTGGTCAATGTACTGAAATAGTCGAGTTTTCAAGTTTCTTTCCACTTTTACCAGCATATCAACAGGTATGCTGTCAATAGCAGTTTGAATATTGTTCTTCAGTTGAGCCAGGGTCTTTGGACGTTAAGAGATTTCAGATAGCCTCACACACAAAAAAAAAAAAAGAAAAAAGAAAAAAAAAAAAATCACACGGGGCTAGATTAGGTGAGCGCGCTGCCCACTGATGATCACCCTGTAAGGAGATAAGGCTTCCAGAGAAATGTTCTCCAAAAAACCATGGTCCAATGATGCCTATTCTGGACAATGCACAACAAACAGTCACACGTTCTGTATGAAGGGGCTGCTCATGAAATTCTCAGGGATTTGTGCCACTCCATTATTACATGTTTTGCTTAATGCATGTTGCAACCGGAAAGATGAAAATGAGCTTCATCACTAAAGAACACAAGGGCATCGTGAGGCATATTGTCAAGAACGGCTTTGCATGCATTTTTTGTGAAAATCGTATGGATTATAAGTTTTTGCACCACTGCCAATTTATATGGATGAAAATGCAGTATGTTGAAAGGTACAATTCCTCGGCAAATGTGCACTCCTCTCTCGTCCACTGCATAATCGGTACTAAACCTACATGACATAAAATGTTAGATACCGCTCTTTTCAATGAGTTCCCTTCTCGGAATAAATGCCACTAGATGGTGCGCATTTCAAATAAGGAAGTTCCCCTGTCGCATCCTGTATTTAACAAGTAAAAATAATAATACTTTTCTGTTAAAGCCCATATTATGCATTTTTAATGCCTTATTATTGTACTGTGGCTTATTTTCTTTCCTCACACTTTTAGCTTAGTACTAGACAAAATCAGAAAGCACAGAATAGCAACAACAAACATTTGCTAATTTAATGAAACAAACATTCAAAAAACTATTGGGGGGGGAAGACACTGGCTTTTCTTTCTCTTTTTATGAACAAATTTCATCAATTCCCATAATTTTGTTGCATCAATTTTTTTTAACATTTAGGTAAAATAACAAGGAACTGGCACATGCCTGTCTTATGCAATTATTTCAATCAGCTGCTGCATTTGTGATTCACTTGAAGTAAGCTTTAGTTCATAAGACTCAATAGATTCTAACTCCTAATATCATAAGTATATGAATTGCATGATTGCATGGAAGTGACAAAGAATGCACGATCAACAAACAAGTTTGTATTTGGAAGACTTTTTCCACCCAGCATAAGAAAAGACTGCATAGTCATTTCGGCTTTGATTCACATTTAATTTCACAAGGTGGTTATTCCAGCACAATTTTACTCTGTAAAGAACATCCCTTTCTTAAGGAAACATGATAGACACTTCTTCACCTAATTGTAAGTTGTAAAATCCACTGGAGTTTTAAAAAAACTCATTAGATGAAAAATGAGATCATATGAGGTTTTATGATATAAACAATTATTGCCATGGAAAAAGACAAACCAAACTGGTGACATCTTGCATCAAGGAGGTATGCCCAAAAGTCCTCCCCCTCTCCCCCCCAAAAAAAGTACTAAATAGCTTTAATGAAAACGTTTCATGTTTTTAGGTCTCACGAATTTTAAACCAATAAACTTAAAAGAAACTAGATTTTTTAGGATAATTTCTCTTATTTAATATTTTAAGTTGTTTTTACTATTATCATATTTTGTTGCAAAATATAGAATTGTACATAATGTATATTTTTGTTCAACTAATATTTTTTTAAACATATTACAACCTTTGAAATTCAAACTGAATGGCCTTTAGGGAAAATCTCTAATTATAATCAAACCCTAATTTTGTGATTGTAGAGGGATCAATAAAAATTATCACTAATGCTTCTCAATTAAATTTTAAATATTACATATGTTACAAAATGCTAAATTTTTCATTTAAGCTTACTTGTTATGTAACTCTTTTACATTTTAAGCTTATGCAGAACACATATATTATATATTTAAAAAAAAAAAAAAAAACTTTGATACAATTCTGTTTATTTTATGTTTTAAAATAGCACTGGCCATTGTCTTATCAACAGCAACTAATGAGTAAATGATCTTGTCTTTGCTAAAGTCCATCAAATATACGATGTTCAAATATACAATCAACCCTTCAAGTTTATCACCACAATTAATGTGGTGACAAACTTAAAGGGTTGACAGTAGGCATAAATAGGAAAATATTGTAATGAAGCATGCTATCACAAATCACATTTTGCCAATAAAAATTGTAAAAATACATAGAAAGGTCTGAAGATGAGCAGTACCCAAAAAAGAATAACAACATTTTTTTCACAGCACAGTTATGATGCAACATCCACTGAAAAACAATACCAGTAAGAGGATAATGAGAAATTATTATAGGTGCTGTTCGAAGTGGTTGTGCTGTGGACATCAGAGAAACAACTGTTGGGCATGCTCAAAGATACCAGATGTATTGTTGATGAGGATGATATGCTCACAGAGCAGATCAATACCATACTTTGCTGAAAAATCGCTAAAGGGAACAATTACAGGAATCACCAAGAAATTTTCACCACAAAAGAAGGAATACAACCCCACTTGTAAGTCTACTGATTGACTTTTTTGGATAAAGATCCAATTAAAACATAAAATATTGTACACAATAATTTTTGCAATTAGAAGTCATGATTCTTTTTCTTCTACAAAAAACACTAAACTATGCTGAAGTGTTATGTAAGTAGCACTTAGTAAAATTTACAGCAGCATAATTTTTAAGAGGCATTACTTGTGAAACAGTTACTACTGAAAACTACTGGGTTAAAATTAAATATGTTTGCCAAACTTTTAAAAAATAGTGTTTGCAAAATTTTACTTATTTAACTAGGCATTTTGTAACAGCTAATTTCTTAACTAACCTTTTTTCTTTTTTTAATTAAAAAAAATATAAATTCCATTTTATCAATAAAAAATTAAATAACCAAAACCAAATTTGCCTAATAAGATTACCCTTTCTGATTGTAAAATACAAAAAATCAGTCGAACAAATAATGCCCATAATTAAGTAGGGTAAAATAACGCTACAAACAGTAGATAATTTATATGTGATGGTATTTATATATGAAAATAAATTTTAGAAAACAAGGTAGTAATAAAATAAGTGTTATGCTTTTGTATTATACCAGTGTAAAAAAAATGGTAATTTTTTTGTCAATAAGAGTGATACAAGCATTTAATTTATGCAAAAGTTTACATACCTATTTCAGTATGCAATGTAGTATTGCTTAAATATACTACTGAAAATGTATGATATGTTTAATCAAATATAATTTTATGTTTACCTCATTTTTTTATTATCCATGTTTTGAAACATACACACCAATTTAGCAACAATATGTCTTAAAAATATTTGAAGATCATTTAATCTTTGAGATCAATTAATCCTAACACTTACCAGCAACTAGAGAAAAAGTTCAAAATATCTAATCTATGAATTCACCACATTCACTGCATGTCCATAAATTTTTCCAACAAAATTCAAACTAAAGTAATTTAAACTCTCAATTCCCATCAGTAAATTCTGAGTAAAACCATTAACTCTGGATAAAAGTCCTATGTTTAGATATTCTGATAAAGATTTCAGACTTTTACTATTTGATATTAATGAATAGTAAGGCTAAGTCATAAATTCTAAAATTTAATTCCTTCAATTTTGTCATGCACCCTGTTAAACACAAAAAAAAATAATTAAAACATTAAAATGCCTATAATACCTCTTGGTTGATGACATTTTATTTGTGCAATTATTGCTTGATATTTAAATTGCAGTGGTGAAAAACTAAACATATAATTTTTCTGTTTATCTGTTTTACAATTATTCCACTGTTGAAAAAAATATTCATTGTTGAATTCTTCATTCTTATTGATTCACAATATTATTAGTGTTCATTATGTTTTTCAAAAATATTTTATTACCAGACTACAATTATGCAATTAAAATGCAGAAAGCTATACACATTCACACCTGTATGTGTTTTGAAGGTATCAAACATTAATAATTTTTAAATATTTTCTCCAAGATTATAAAACTGAATGAAAATAACAATATAAAAAGTACAAGAGAGGAAAAAAAAAAAAAAAAGTTATTCTTACCAGGAAAACATGTTATCTTTTGATCGATTAACTTCCAGTCAGCCTTTTCTAGAGAACTAAATTTCCAGTCTAATATGAAATTCCCATTATCAGTAACAACAGGGCCCTGGATTTAGAGATATAAAAATTAGCAAGTAATTTTACTAACAAATTACAATAAAACTACAAATATATAATAATCAGAATTTTAAAACATTCTTAAGTAAAACTCTACATTTATTTCTGCAACTGAAAACTTTAAAAGAAAGTTTGGTGGGTTGTTTGGTGGTGGTTGTTAAAGTTTTTAAGTGAATTGATTACTAATATATTTTTGTCATGCTTTTTAACAACACTAATCTCAGCAATAAAAACCCTTGAGAAGGTCAGCATATTAAGGATAATAGATTTATCTAATATTACATCAATATAGTTACAAATTTTGTATTTAGATAGCCAATATTAGTAGAATTATAATTAAAATTGTTGTATTTCCCCGAGCAATGCAGCGTGTGATAAATTTTAAGAGAAAGCTATGCCAAAAAAGTAAAAATATAAGAGCACATGCATTTAACATTGAATAAATGGATATCTCTTTTACTGTATTAAAACTGAATAAGTGTAACTGGCTACTGTGTTAGCTGTAACTGTAATTCCATCCTCTTGTCGGTCTCCAGAAATCTCGAGAAGCAAAGAAATTACTAGAAATTCCTCATGACCATGTTAAAGCTATAAAAAGCCAGACAGAGAACATCTCAGCTCAGTTGTTTAGTTAGCTACTGTTGTTATTTTTTGTAAGTTTAGCATGAATCGAATTAGCTTTCTCTTTGTATTGCATTCTGTTTTAACATTTTAGTAGTTTAAAGTGTAACTATTGATTATATTCTGCGATATTGTGATATGGTACAGATATCTCTGAGGAAAATTCCAGCATTGTATTTCTTTTGATAAGAATAAATTTTATTAATCTTTCATCAGACTTGTACATTCAATCTATTACGAACCGGTACACTCACAACAATATATATATAATTTTTAAATTAACTACTGACTGCAATAGCATTAATGATGCCAATATAAGTAAACAAGTACAGAACAGTGAAAAACTTTTAATGTACCATAAGCTATTCATAAATTATAAATTTGACCACACTGGGAGAAAAACTACCAACTATAATAAATGCCTGAAGGATTACAAATAAATATATTTTTTAACCATACTGGCATATTTTATTACATAAAGTTATCAGGAACTTGTAGCACATAAAGGTATACAAAATGACTGATCTCATTATAAATTTTACCATACTGGGGAAGAGGGAACTACCAACTATAATAAATGCTTACGGCATTAAATAAATAAGATAATTTTTTAACCATACTGGCACATTTTATTACATAACCTTATCAGAAACTTTTAATTCACAAAGTTATTCAAAACTGACTGATCTGGTTTTGGTTAATGCATTCATATGATATACTTCAGATGAAAAGGAAATATCTTAGTTTTAGAAAGACACTAATATACAGTATTTTATTTAAAAAAAAAAAATGTCAAGTACTTTCAACAAACTGAATAATTTAGTACTCATCAACTCACAGCTAATGACCTAAGGTGCCCGATTTTGTTTTGCTATTCCAGGTGACTTTCCTATTTTCATTTAAAGAACAGTTAATTGCATACAGACTAAAATTTTCTTATATCATATATAAGAGATAAGTAAATTTTCATATTGCTGAAATAAGATGAAGGGGGGAAAGTCAGCTTCATTTTCCTGTCTTCTGAGACTTTTTTCTTTAATCTCTCTCTAGTCCAAAGGGACAATTGTTTTCATTTTGCATCAAATCACTCTGAATGTCCGTTTCACTTTTCAAAGTGTTGCCACCAAATATTATCGCCCTGTATTAAATTTGAAGAATCTACACAAATGAATCTGCACAAATGTATGTATGTTTTTCACATTGTGATAAAATAAAGGTACCTAGAGCCATCAAATTTGAATGGCATAATCCTACTGTGAATGGGCATCTGGAAGACCAAATTTGAAATTTGGAATTTGTTTTATTATCGATTTCATATTTTATAAAACTTTAGCGAATTTTTGATTAAGAAACTCAAAGATTTCAAAGCGAGCAATGGTATTGCTCTTGAACTGAATTTTATGGTTCAAGTATGAAGAACATAATATTTAAAAAATAAAGGTAACAAACAAAATGTTAAAAAAATGCCCCTTTAGACGTAATTTAAAATCTGAAATCTTTCAGATTTTAATATTTTATGTTACTTAAACCTTTTATTTATATTTATTTATTTTTAGTCCAAAGGGGCAAATTGCTCTGAAGGACTACAATTTTCGTTTCGGCATTTTGCGTTGGTTCACTATAAAAGTCAGATTTACTTTTCAAATTGTTGTCAGCAAATATTATCGTCCTGTATTATATTTAAAGAAATTAAATAATGAAAATTAAATATTGAAAATGTTTCTTGCATTGTGATTAAAAAACTGTACCTAGACCCATCCAGTTTTGAAAAATGCACATTTTAACCCGAATATGAGCATCTGGAAGCCCAAATTTGGAATTTGTTTTATTATCTATTTCATATTTTGTAAAACTTTAATAAAATTTTGATTAACAAGCTCAATGATTTAAAAGTGAGACATGGCAACACTCTACGGGGGAAAAAAAAAAAAAAAAAAAAAAAAAACAAAAAAAGAAAAAAAAAAAAAAAAAAAAACCTTTTTATCTCCAGCGTGCGAAACTATGTATCGGAAATTCTAAAGATATGCTGATTTTAAAATTATTTTGCAATATTGCTGTTGAACTGAATTTTTGGTTTAATTGCGAAGAACTTGATATTTAATAAATAAAGGTAGCACACAAAACATTAAAAAAAAAATGCCCCTTTGGATGTAATATAAAATCTGAAACCTTTCAGACTTTTTTGAGGAAAGGGGGTGAAAGTTTGATTTAATAAAATTATTTATTTATTTATTTATTTATTGTTGTTGTTGTTTTTGTTGTTGTTGAATATTTTGATGTACAAAAGTATCTCAGATAGTCAACTTTTGAATACTATACAAATTTGTTTGTGAATATTTCCTTTGCAACAGAATAAGATATCATTAAAATGAGATTTCCTATAACAAATGAATAATGAAGAAAATTGGACTAATATTGGATGCTGGAAACTGAACACTGGAAGGAAATTACCGTATTTGATTGCATATAAGGTGCACCGACATATAAGACGCACCCTTATTTAGAAGGCCACACACAAGGAAAAAAAGTTTCAATAGTCCGCGGGACAGCACGGTACCACAATAACTTAAAATGTGGTTTCTTTTAGTTCTCACCTTTCGTAAAAGCCAATAAATGCAATTTCCAAACATATTTTCATTAAGGAAAATTAACAAACGGCAAGCTATTTTGAACGACGTTATATGTAAATTTCAATAATGAATAAATGAATGAACAGCAAGCAATCAAACATAATACAAAATAAAGCAGAAACAACAAAAAACACAGATTCAAGGAAAACGTTGCCTATCATGAAATTAGACTTTAATCACTTTCAAAACCATAAAAATCCTTTTCACTATCATCATCATCGAAAACGTAATGTAACCGTCGAACCTGTTCGAACTTCGACATCAGCTTCGAGCTTTGGCGCTTTTTCGTGACAGATATTTCACGCATGCGCAAAATAATTATGGCAGATGTAGAAAAGTTATGCATGTCTAGACCTTTATCCGGGCTAAAAATAGCATTCAGTATTGAAAGTTAACCCATGTCCTTCATGTATAAGATGCAGGTAACTCTTTTTAGACCAAATTTAGAAAAAAAATTGTGTCTTATATGCCGTCAAATACAATGTACATTGAAATATTCCTCAATTAACAATAAAAGTTACATTTTTTGTAATGTTAAAAATTCTCATGCATAACAAAACTGAATAAAGTTTCATATTATCTTTAACAGAAGCTCGATAAATTAAGATAAACTAATCTAATAAGAATGGGAGAATATCTTGGATAAACTAAGATAATTCTTCCATTCTGTATACCTCTCATATTTTCATTTTCAAGGAACAAGTATCCTTACATTTCCAGATCATTAAGCCTCAATACAGTGAACTGTGGAATAATATTCATTGACTCCAGTAGAATTATGATAATTAACATATATTACAGAACCAAAGTTTTATACAGTAAATCATGTCTTTTTAAACTTTGTTAACGTTTTCCCTTCCTAATTTCTGGAGTAAATTTGAATTGTTTGCACATAAATAACAAACTAAAACCTATTTATAGCTTAAAAACTATTATATTTTTTATAAAAAAAAATAATGTGAGTGCAAAGGTAAAATGCAGAAGTAGAGAAAAATCTTTCGAGAAAGTTAAACTCTTTTTAAAAATACATCAAACATTGTTAAATAAACAAAATAAGGGGTGGACAGCTCTATATCTCCCGTTCTAATAGGCCGATTGACGAAATTCAAATTGCATTTTTCCTGTCTCGAAAGTGCGACTTAGGATATATATTAGATCTATATATAGCACTATTCTAACATAGGTATTCTGACACAAAATCGGACTTTTTCTGAAATAACATACTAATCTTTTTTTACATATTTTGATTATATGACTCAAATTATGTCGAATTGCCAAGTTTTGTAAAAATCGCATGAGCAGTTTTTAAATTAGCTCTCATAATTTTAGCTCCTCAATGTTAACTGAATTTGGTATATATTTATTAATATCTCTTTCTTATAAAACACTTTTTATTCTTCCTTTCGCATTTCAAAATTTAAGTTCAATCCAAATAAAATTCAACCATTTTTTATATTTATTTTTTTTAATTTCTATTTTTAAATAATTTTTTATAAATCTTTCGAAAAAAATTTTGAATTATAACCTATAAAATTTTTACCATCATCTTAAAGTAGGTGCATTTCTAAGCATACCTGCAAAAAATTAGAGGTTTTTTTTTTCAAAATTTTCTAAGATATTCACGAATTTACATATTTTCACGTTTTTAAATTTGGCATTTTTTTTAGCGATAATAACGGGAAATGTGGTTTATGGATTTCAAATAAGTTTTTGCAGAGATTTAATTATATGTAATGTT